TTCCACACAGCTGAATGAAATCCCACATTATCTGCTTTGAACTGAGATATATTGCATTGTGGTCTCAGATAACTCAGTTCAAAGCAGATATTGTGGGGTTTTCTGCCTTGATATTCTGGGTTATATGGCTATGTGGAAGGGCCTTGAGTGATCTCAGTGGCATGAATGGGAAAATCATCCATTCATACTCTAAAGGTGGAAACATGCAAACACATCTGGCCTAAACATATTGCTAGGGGCTGGAATCATTTGTACCTAATGACTATTTGCATATGTGCATTCCTCTAAGGAAGATACATTGGAGTAGTAGCTCGGGATGTCATTCTTTACTTCTAGAAGGGAAAAAGAGAGAAGCTTCAATGCTCAAAAGAAAGGATCCAATAGCTGGATGGAGAAAATAAGGCTTCTAAAACATGAATTTTTTGTTGTAGGTTTTTTTCGGGCTATATGGCCATCCTCTACCTCTGAGGATGCTTGCCATAGATGCAGGCAAAATGTCAGGAGAGAATGCCTCTAGACCATGGCCATACAGCCCGAAAAAACCTACAACAACCCAGTGATTCTGGCCATGAAAGCCTTCGACAATACATGAATATTTTCTCTACAATCCATTCTGTTGACTCAAGAGGACCAAAGCCTTAGGGCAGGGGTCCTCAAACTTTTTAAAGAGAGGGACAGGTCACAGTCCTTCAAACTGTTGGAGACCCAGATTATAATTTGGAAAAAAATGAATTAATTCCTATGCACACTGCACATATCTTATTTGTAGTGCAAAAACACTTTAAAACAATAAAATAATTAAAATGAACAATAATTTTAACAAATATAAACTTATTAGTATTTCAATGGGAAGTGTGGGCCTGCTTTTGGCTGATGAGATATGATTGTTGTTGTTGTTGTGTGCTTCCAAGTAATTTCAGACTTAGGTTGATCCTGAGCGAGAGCCGGGTAAATGACTTTGAAGGGCCGTATCCAGCCCGCGGGCCATAGTTTGAGGATCCCTGCCTTAGGGAATGGATGCCTAACTGTTAGAAAAACTTATCTATTTTCCCTTAATGAATTTTCCAACTTGTCCAGGTAGGAAGTATCAAGAGGAGGAGGACAGCAGTAGTAACAAAAATACAAGAGGCAAATATATTTTCCCAATAACTGAGGCTCTTTCCACACAGCTGAATAAAATCCCACATTATGTGCTTTGAACTGGAATATATGGCAGTGTGGACTCAGATAACCCAGTTCAAAGCAGATATTGTGGGATTGTCTGCCTTGATGTTCTGGATTATATGGCTGTGTGGAAAGGACCCAAGTTATCTGAGGCTCTCTTCCATACAGCTGAATAGAATCCCACAAAGGGTTGCCTTTGAAGACTGCTCAGAAGCTTCAAATGGTCCAGCGTTCAGCAGCCAGGTTGCTAACAGGAGCGGCACTCAGGGAGCATACTACTCCTCTGTTGCACCAGCTCCACTGGCTGTCAGTTTGCTACCGGGCACAATTCAAAGTGCTGGCGTTAGCCTATAAAGCCCTAAACGGTTCTGGCCCTACTTACCTCTCCAAACGCATCTCCTCCTATGAACCGGCTAGGACACTAAGATCATCTGGGGAGGCCCTGCTCTCTGTCCCGCCTCCATCACAGGCGCTCTTGGGGGGGACGAGAGACAGGGACTTCTCAGTGGTGGCCCCTCGGCTGTGGAACGCCCTGCCTGCAGATATCAGATCGGCCCCCTCCCTGCTGGTGTTTCGGAGGAAGGTGAAGACCTGGCTGTTTGAACAAGCATTTGATTAAACAGTGTAATTGAACATAGGAATGGAATAATGGATGATGAGACTGGATTCTGATTTTACTGTTGAGGCGCTAATGATTGTTACATGGATGTTTAATGATTTATGTTACAATTGTTTTTAATTGCCCTATACTTGTCTCGTGATGTTTTGTATTGATGTTGTTCACCGCTTTGAGTCGCCTGAGGGCTGAGAAAAGTAAATAATAAATAAATAAATAAATAAATAAATAAATAAATGCTTTGAACTGGAATATATGGCAGTGTGGACTCAGAGAACCCAGTTCAAAGCACATATTGTGGGATTGTTTGCCTTGATATCCTGGATTATATGGCTGTGTGGAAGGGACCCGAGTTATCTGAGGCTCTCTTCCATGCAGCTGAATAGAATCCAACGTTATCTGCTTTGAATTGGAATATATGGCAGTGTGGACTCAGATAACCCAGTTCAAAGCAGATATTGTGGAATTGTCTGCCTTGATGTTCTGGATTATATGGCTGTGTGGAAGGGACCCGAGTTAGCTGAGGCTCTCTTCCATACAGCTGAATAGAATCGCACATTATCTGCTTTGAAGTGGAATATATGGCAGTGTGGACTCAGAGAACACAGTTCAAAGCAGATATTGTGGGATTTTCTGCCTTGATATTCTGGATTTTATAGCTATGTGGAAGGGACCCGAGTTATCTGAGGCTCACTTCCATACAGCTGAATAGAATCGCCCAGTTCAAAGCAGATATTGTGGGATTGTCTGCAGGGGTGGCTCAACCCATTACTCAAAGTAAGCATTTGCAGTATAGTTGATTTTGCCCAGGGGCACTCTTGAGGCGCTCTTGGGGGGAAATAGACCTTGACATATGCGAGTTGTAGTTACTGGGATGTATAGTTCACCTACAATTAAAGAGCATTCTGAACTCCACCAATGATGGAATTGAACCAAATATGGCACACCGAACTCCCACAACGAACAGAAAATATACATCAATGATTGGTTGGGGGGGGGGGGCGCTAAAATACTGTTTACTTACCATTGAAAATTACCTAGGGCCACCTCTAATTGTCTGCCTTGATGTTCTGGGTTATATGGTTATGTGAAAGGGCCCACAGTCTGGTTAAGGTTCTTGTGATTACATTCATTCACTCACTTTCTTTCTCCTCTCCACCCCCAAAAAAGTCTTCCATTATCTTTCTCTCTCACACACACATATTCCAGTTAACATTCCCTAGGTTGAAGCCTGAAGGATCTGAGATCACTTTCAAATGCCCTTTCTAACAAGCCCCTGAGCAAGAGGCCACTAATTTTCAGTGAACAAAAAGCCACTGGAGAGAGCCCCGTTTGTCAATATCAACTGGTCCAGCAATTTCCCATCTTCAGACACATCGGCCTATCTGAGCTGGCAGATGTTTAGACAAGATTTTATAAATTGTTCAATATCAGCCCGTAATGAACCCCAACTGACCATTCCAAAGCAGCGAAAAGCATCCAGGATCTCCCCTGCTGGGATGTGAGAATGCTCTCACGCTGGAACATTATTAATCATGGAATAAAATAGATGAGGCTCTTGAAAAATAAGTGTATGATTGATTAAAGGGCAATCTAAGAAGCTATTATTCTTGTTTCATAACCGTAAGTTATATTCACTCAATTTATCTTGGGGGCGAGAGAATAAATGGTGGTTTGTCTCTTTATTGAAATGATATTATAGCGGGATTCTCATTATTCGCTGGGTGGGGAAAATGAAGCGATTATTTAGCGATATTTTTTTTCCTGAGCTCAAAGCAGATCACCGAGGTGATTACCACATTATAGATATTAGCAGAACGCGTTTTAAATGGCAGTGGGATGTTTTTACATATTGTAATATTTTATAAAATGTATACCTTTGGATAAAAAAAGCAAACAAAGGCTGAAAATTTGAATTAAAATGACTGAAATTAAACATGTTACTGTTAGAATGGCTCAGACCCAATTCTTTACTATTATTTTATTATTATTATTATTATTATTATTATTATTATTATTTATTAATATTATTTTATTATTTTTTGTAAATAAACCTTTTGTGAATTTTTGAGATTGGACTCTGCATCTTAATTCTTTACAGACACATCACACGGCACTTCACGCTCTGCTCACTGTGAGCTAAATGCTCAATGATAAGTATCCTGTTTGTATTTTGAATGCTCTGCTTTAGTTTTGGATAGTTTTTCCCTAACAGTATATACAGTGGGGTGTGTGTGTGTGTGTGTGTGTGTGTCAGGAGCGACCTGAGAAACTGCAAGTCGCTTCTGGTGTGAGAGAATTGGCCGTCTGCAAAGACATTGCCCAGGGGACACATTTTTTGCCATCCTGTGGGAGGCTTCTCTCATGCCCCCCACGCTCTGCTTGATGTGAGCTAAATGCTCAACAATAGGTATCCTGTTTGTATTTTGAATGCTCTGCTTTAGTTTTGGATAGTTTTTCCCTAACAGTATATACAGTGGTGTGTGTGTGTGTGTCAGGAGCGACCTGAGAAACTGCAAGTCGCTTCTCGTGTGAGAGAATTGGCCGTCTACAAAGACATTGCCCAGGGGACACATTTTTTGTCATCCTGTGGGAGGCTTCTCTCATGCCCCCCATGAGAAGCTGGAGCTGACAGATGGGAGCTCACCCCACTCCCCAAATTCAAACCGCTGATTTAAACGTGTATATAGTCTACACCAGGGGTCCACAAACTTTTTAAACAGAGGGCCAGGTCATAGTCCCTCAAACTGCTGGAGGGCCAGATTATAACTTGAAAAAAAAATGAATGAATTCCTATGCACAGTGCACGTATCTTATTTGTAGTGCAAAAAACACTAATTAAAATGTAAACTTATTAGTATTGCATTGGGAAGTGTAGGCCTGCTTTTGGCTGATGAGATAGGATTGTTGTTGTTGTTGTTGTTGTTCAAGTCGTTTCAGATTTAGGTTGACCCTGAGTGAGGGCCGGGTAAATGACCTTGGAGGGCCGTATTCGGCCCCCGGGCCGTAGTTTGAGGACCCCTGGTCTACACAATACATCAAACTCTGAAGGTTTCCTTTGACTGAATATTCAGCTTGAATTAATTTACTACACCACTGAATATATTCTGTATATATTTAACACGATACTGTCAGTGATATTTTATAAATGATCGCAAATCACTGTGTGTCTCTCTTTCCACAGGCTGAAAATGAACGTTCAAATAAAGCCACCACCTCGTTGTAGACTAATCTGTTTTTATTTACAATTAAAGATATAAATTAGTAAAGAATTCTCGTTAAACAACGAGGGATTGTATAACCATCAATGTCTCAAATAAAAACCAGGCATAATTTATTTACAAAAGAGTTGGGATTCCATTGCAATACAACTTGCATAAATTACTAGAAGCTCTTATATCATTACAAAAATAAATATCAAATTTGTTTCCACTTTGTCAGTCCTCAAGTTCTTCAGTCCCCGGTTTCTTGAATGAACCCCTACCGTATGCATCTTTTACAAAGAGTTTGTACAATAATCCTATCACACCTACAGAATATAGATAATATATACCGTGGCAATGAAGTGATCATTTCAAGATATCCTGAGAAAAAAACAGCTTTTTCTTCTTCTTCTTCCTTTTTTTAAAAGTCACACATACATGGGGGGAAACTAGACTATACCAGCGAACTCACATAATGTCCAACAAAATTCTGGTTTAATAATAATTAGAGAGGATCTTGTCGATTTAATAGTGTTCTGTGGTCTTCTTTTTATACAGTGGCACAAGATGTGATCCGGATTTAGAGTTTGTTTTGTTTTGTTAGAGATAGACATAGAGATAGATACTAGCTTGGGGGAAAGATGATGGCTTGTTGACTTTTCTCAAAGCAATTGTGACACCTACCTGTGGACCAAGGAAAACACCAGATCATCCACAATGTTTCAGTTACAAAGAATATAAGGCACACTATAAACAATGCTTTTCCCACTGTCTCAGCATAGAATAGACTTAGGATTGTGGGGTGTTATTTCTTCTTTTTATTTTGAGATGGTGGGGAATAAATGTTATTAATAATGACTACTATTACTAATAATTGTTACTAATAATTGGTTATTAATAATTATTCTTATAACAAATAATGATTAATAATAATTGGATATTGATAATGATGAACACCAATAATTGTAAATAATAATTGGTTTATTATTATTACTAATAATATTATTACTAATAATATTATTAGTAATAATTATTACTAAATATTATTATTAATAATATTATTAGTAGTAATATTATTAGTAATAATTATTACTAAATATTATTAGTAATAATTATTAAATAATAATTGGTTTGTTATTATTACTAATAATTGTTAATAATAATATGTTATTAATTATTATTACTAATAATTGTTAACAATAATATGTTGTTAATTATTATTACTAATAATTGTTAATAATAATATGTTATTAATTATTATTACTAATAATTGTTAATAATGTGTTATTAATTATTATTACTAGTCATTATTAATAATTATTATTATCACTAATAATTGTTACTAATAATTGGTCGTTAATAATGATTATTATAATTACTAATAATTGGTCATTAATAATTTTTACTACTAATAATTGCCAATAAGATTAGTCTTTAGTCCTGTACGAAGTCACTATTTGGAAAGGGGTGGGCAGGGGAATCAGAACAGAGATAATTCCTATTACACTCTTTGGAATCCACCCAGGAATCATCTCATTGTTTAGGGGTGTTTGAATTGTACATGAGCATAACCACATGAATTAAGTCCTTCGAATTTTCGGTTTCTTCTACGTACCAAGGAGCAGGAAGTAGCTTTGCGCAAGCCAATTGAGAGCTGCTATGCTCCTTTCTCTTTGCTACGCTTATATGCATTTCAAATAGGAGGCTAGGGGACAATGAGATGGATTTTGGCCGGATTCCAAAGCGAGCATGTGTTCCCTCCCTCTCGCCCATTCCTTTCAGTGGGGTCCAGTCTGCAGGAGAACTTCCCATCTGGATGTTGTAAGGAAATTAGAACTCGGGAAATATATGGACAACTATTTCAGTATAAATATTAACACACCAGATGATTTTCTTTAAAAACTACAGTTCTGTTAAATCATCAGAACTGCACTGCTTTCTCAGAGCAAAACAAAGGTGAAAATGCCACAGGCCTTTTTTTTCCTCCCTCCTCTCTTTTGTAATCATGCTCTCTTAGTAAAGGAGCAAGATATGAACATTAGGCAAATGTACAATTTGTCTTGGGAGTGCCTGCCAAATGCTCTTTGGGAGCAGTGTAACAGTCAGGGGAGAAACAAGGAAGAAACCGGTCTCACTTACTTGCCTGGCTGCTGTGTGATTGCCTTTCTATAGGTATGGTTGTACTCCTACTGTGCACACTTCAGTGGGGTCTGTCAAAATAGAAGCGTCAGTTAGTCACAGGACACAGCTGGCTAACAAGATTATATCCACTCCAGGCCTGGCTTGGTTCTCTCCTTGGCACCAAACTGGAAGCCCATTCCTCCCAAGGCTTAGGCCTGAGGCTGCATCTCTGTGCTAACTTGAGAGGATCAGATAAGGAGAGGTGTGGCTGAAGCTTGAGTGTATGCGGATGGGAGGAAAGCATTTGTATTGCTGTTTGGTTTAACTGAGTGATTTGCATGTATTCCTTAAAAACAACAAGGAACCTTTCCCAGGGCAAGAGAAACAGGCTGAAAGCATATATGCACACTGGGTCGAAGAGTAAGAACTCACCTCTAATGGTTACGATTGTCAATTGGTTTGAAATAACTTATTGTATTTCATTTTTTTTCCTCTCTCTAAACACTACACTGGCCTTTCTTTGCAAATATGAATTCACACATGTTGGCAAAAGCAAGCAAGTAATCAAACAAAGTCTATATTGTTCTAAATCTATAGACTAAAAAGCAGAAAAGATTTATCTGTTTCTTAATGTTTGCCATATATGTTGGAAACCTGAGTCTCTTTGGATGGTTGACAAATAAAGCATTATTATTGTTATTATTATTATTATTATTATTATTATTATTATTATTATTTTCAGTAACCCCACTTAATTTGAGATTTGGAGTTTTCTGTTTGCTTATATACTGATACACACACACACACACACACTCACACACATACACAGTTATACCCACATATACACACATATCTGTAACCCCACTTAAACTGAGTCACACACACACAGTTATACACATATACACGCACAGTTACACACGCAGAGAGACTGTTATACACACATACACACATATTAGTAACTACACTTAAATTGACACACACACTGTTATACACACACATATACATACATACATACATACATACATACATAAATATCAGTAACCCCACTTAAATTGACGCACACTGTTATACACACATACATACATATTACATACATATCAGTAATCCCACTTAAATTGATGCACACTGTTATACACACATACACACACATATCAGTAACCCCACTTAAACTGACACACACATACATACACACACACATATCAGTTACCCCACTTAAATTGAGATTTGAGGTTTACTCTTTGTATTTATACTGATACAAACATACTGATATGTATATATATACTTATATTATACACACATACACACAAACATACACACATGTACATGCACACATGTCAGTAACCCCATTTAAATTGAGATTTGGAGTTATCTCTATGTGTATATGCTGATTTATATTATATTATATTATATTATATTATATTATATTATATTATATTATATTATGTATGTATATCTGTGCACACACACACAGCCTCCACTTAAATGTATTCTTTTACACTGATCACTCGACTCCCCTGTTTTAATCTTGCAATTTAATCCCATTTTACCAAACTCATTATTTAATTAATTTTTATTGAAGTTTTGGGATAGTGGATATTTCTCTTTGTCACGTCTTCTTGATATGGTCAGTGGAGTAATCAATTACAGATCTATTTATCTGTTATATACATTAGTTATAATTGTGTTGTATTGTTTTTATCTCATGTTTTAATTATAGTACTTGATTGCTGTGTTTTAATTCTAATTTTTGGGCTTGCCAACCCTCTCCTCAAGTCCCCTAGGGGAGATGGTTGGCGGGGGTGTAAAAATAAAGTTATTATTATTGTCATTAAAATGTAGTTTTTGAGCTACTTAATTGGCTCCTCTTTCTCCGGCCCTAAAGAGAAACCTTAGGTTTTTAAATCCTTGTATGTCATTGTTTACTGTTTATTGTTTACATGTGATTTATATGATTTGTATTGTACTTATTGTTTTTGTTTATTGCTTTTTGTTTGATTGATGTGTTCTTTGGGCTTGGCCTCATGCAAGCCTCTCCGAGTCCTTTGGGGAGATGGTGACAGGGTATAAATAAAGTATTATTATTATTATTATTATTATTATTATTCTCAGCTCCTTGCTTGGAAATCTTAAAGGTACCCAGCCTGAGTTCCAAGTGCTCTTTGAAAGGGGAGGCAAAGTGAAAACAAAACCGCAAGACTTGACATCCATGGGGCGGGGAGGGGGGGGGAGGCTAGATGTACTCCAACAAAACAGAAAGGAGGATGCTGTTGGATGGACAGGGTTCAATCCTGGGTGCCCCCCCCCCCCCCCCGCTTTTGTTAAAATTGGGTTGTTGTAGGTTTTTTCGGGCTATATGGCCATGTTCTAGAGGCATTCTCCTGACGTTTTGCCTGCATCTATGGCAAGCATCCTCAGAGGTAGTGAGGTCTGTTGGAAGTAGGAAAATGGGTTTATATATCTGTGGAATGACCAGGGTGGGACAAAGGACTCTTGTCTGCTGGAGCTAGGTGTGAATGTTTCAACTGACTTGTTTGAAAAGTTGTTGTGCTTTGTCTCACCCTGGTCATTCCACAGATATATAAACCCTTTTTCCTAGTTCCAACAGACCAGGGTGAGACAAAGCACAACAACTTTTCAAACAGTAAGTTGAAACATTCACACTTAGCTCCAGCAGACAAGAGTCCTTTGTCCCACCCTGGTCATTCCATAGATATATAAACCCATTTTCCTACTTCCAACAGACCTCACTACCTCTGAGGATGCTTGCCATAGATCGGTGTTTCTCAACCTGGGGGTCAGGACCCCTGGGGGGGTCACGAAGGGGTGTCAGAGGGGTCACCAAATACCATCAGAAAACACAGTATTTTCTGTTGGTCATGGGGGTTCTGTGTGAGAAGTTTGACCCAATTCTATCATTGTTGGGGTTCAGAACATTCCTTGATTGTAGGTGAACTATAAATCCCAGCAAGTACAACTCCCAAATGTCAAAGTCTATTTTCCCCAAACCCCATAAGTGTTCACATTTGGGCACATTGAGTATCCGTGCCAAGTTTGGTCCAGATCCATCATTGTTTGAGCCCACAATGCTCTTTGGATGTAGGTGAACTTCAACTCCCAAACTCAAGGTCAATGCCCACCAAACCCTTCCAGTATTTTCTGTTGGTCATGGGAGTTCTGTGTGCCAAGTTTGGTTCAATTTCATCATTGGTGGATTTCAGAATGATCTTTGATTGTAGGTTAACTATAAATCCCAGCAACTCCCAAATGACAAAATAATTTCCTCCCCAGCCCCACCAATATTCAAATTTGGGCATATAGGGTATATGTACCAAATTTGGTCCAGTGAATGAAACTTTGGTTCAATTCCATTGATGGTGGGGTTCAGAATGCTCTTTGTTTACAGGTTAACTATAAATCCCAGCAACTACAATTCCCAAATGACAGAATCAATTTCTCCGCCAACCCCACCCGTATTCAAATTTGGGCATACCGGGTATTTGTGCCTAAATTTGTGAATGAAAATACATGCTGTAGATCATTATTTACATGTCAGGGTTATGTTTGGGGGTCACCACAACATGAGGAACTGTATTAAGGGCTCGCGGCATTAGGAAGGTTGAGAACCACTGCCATAGATGCAGGCGAAACGTCAGGAGAGAATGCCTCTAGAACATGGCTATATAGCCCGAAAAAACCTACAGCAACCCAGTGATTCCGGCCATGAAAGCCTTCGACAATACATTAACTGATCGGGAAACGAGGGGGGGGGGGGGGAAGGAAAGGAAGGGAAGCCTACCTTTCTTGGAGTCTGTAGCGGGGGCTTTGTAGTGCTGCTCCAAATGCCCGGCGAGGCTCTTGAGGGCGGCCTCCGGGACCGACTTGTGCGCGGCGGCCCCTCCGCCGCAATGGCTACCGCCGCCAATCCCGTCTCCCGAAGCGACAGCAGCGGCAGCGGCAGCGGCAACAGCGGAATTGTACCGCAGGATGCCTTGTCCCTGGAGGGCGGCGTTGAAGTTCCCATAGTTCGTGTAGTTGCCGTAAAAAGGCGACGTGTAATAAATATGCCTGCCCAGGATTGAAGAGGGCGAGTAGGCCGCGCTGTGCGGAGGGGCGGGCGAAGAGGATGAGGAAGGCGGGCAGGGCTGAGGCTGCGGCTGCTGCTTAAGGTCCGAAGTGGCGATCTCAGCCAGCGACCAGAGCTTGGGTTTGCTCTGCGATGCTGACGAGGAAGGAGCCGGCGGGATGCGGGCGTCCAAAACAGCCTTGGCGGCGCTGCGGGCTGCGTCCTCGCCCAATTGGTGGCCCAGGAGCGGGGCCTCGACGCCCGTCAGCGGCGAAGAAGTGGCCGGCTTCACGGGCAGGATGTCCTCCCCTTCCTCGTCGTCTTCTTCATCCTCCTCTTCTTCTTCCTCGTCGTCCTCCTCGAGCTGCTGGTACTTGGCTTTGCAGTCCGAGACAGACTCGCAGAGCGGCCGGCAAGGACCTTTCTCGCCGTCCGATTCCGCCGAGCAGGAGTGGTCAGTCAGCGAGTCCACTTGCAAGCTGATTCCTGACGAAAACAAAGCGGGGAAGAGGCCCAGCCGTCAAGGAATGTCAGCCTTAACATTCCTCCTCAGGTCTAACCCCCTCCCGGACCCTCCAACACCAAAACCCACCCATTCCTAAGTTTCCAGACACCAAGGAATGGGGCAGGCGCTGCTCGAGTTGGGTCAAGCCTGACAGCGACTACTCCAAACCCGTCACTCTGCTCTTCGCGTGACATTTGCCCTGAGAACTCTTCTTAGCCTCGACTAATCGGATGCCCCACTAGTGTCGGAAAGAGAGTGAGGTCCCGTCTATACTGCCATTCAATGCAATGTGGTCAGTGCACACCAAGCATGGGCAAACTCCGGCCCTCCAGCGCACACCCCACATAATGCAGCTCAGGCCCGTAGCCAGGATTTTGATTTGGGGGGGGGGGGGCTGAGTTTGATTGGGAGGGGGACTGAGTTCCCCCCCCCCCCCGCCCGGCTACATGCCTGACCCGGGCCCTCCAACAACAACACCCACCCATTCCTAAATTTCCAGACACCAAGGAATGGGGCAGGCCAGGCCCGTAGCCAAGATTTTGATTTGGGGGGGGGGGGGCTGAGTCTGAGTGAAAGAGGGTCTACCCTAGCAAACCTTTTGTATTGTTACCGCAATACCCCCATGCATATGCGATATATTGAGCATGGTGATCAGATCATGATATGAATAAACATATCAGTAAAGCCTTCTCGCGGACCACCATGAGAATTTAGGGGGGGGCTGAAGCCCCCCAAGCCCCCAATACAGTTTTCTGAATCAGCACCCCAAATAACAAGGAGCCCCCAGTGGCGCAGTGGGTTAAACCCCTGTGCTGGCAGGACTGAAGACCGACATGTCGCAGGTTCGAATCCGGGGAGAGGCGGATGAGCTCCCTCTATCAGCTCCAGCTCGTCATGCGGGGACATGAGAGAAGCCTCCCACAAGGATGATAAAAGCATGGCGGGGGGGGGGGGGGCTTGAGGGGCTCCAGCCCCCCCCCCCGAAATTCTCATGGTGGTTCGCGAAAAGGCCTTACTGGTGCATTATTTAAACTGTTATGTTTATTCATATCATGATCTGATCACCATACTCAATATATCCCATATGCATGGGGGTATTGGGGTAATGATACAAAAGGTTTGCTAGGGTAGACCCTCTTTCACTCAGACTCAGCCGCCCCCGCCCCCCACCCCCCCCTGAAAAAAAACTCACCCCCCCCCCCCGAATCGAAATCCTGGCTATGGGCATGCTCCTGACGTTGCAGTTTAGTGATGTGGGCGAAACGTCAGGAGAGAACGCTTCTGGAATGTGGCCATACAACACTCTCTCTCCTGACGTTGCGGTTTAGTGGTGTGGGCAAAACGTCGGGAGAGAATGCTTCTGGAATGTGCCCATACAACACTCTCTCTCCTGACGTTGCAGTTTAGTGGTGTGGGCAAAACGTCAGGAGAGAATGCTTCTGGAACGTGGCCAGACAACCCGGAAAACTCACAGCAACCCAGCGATTCCGGCCAGAAAGAACCTCTCTCAGTTATATTTTCACAGGCTCGAATCTGGGAGAGCGCAGATGAGCTCCCTCTATCAGCTCCAGCTCCTCATGCGGGGACATGAGAGAAGCTCCCAGAAGGATGATAAAAACATCAAATCATCCGGGCGTCCCCTGGGGAACGTCCTTGCAGACGGCCAATTCTCTCACAACAGAAGCGACTTGCAGTTTCTCAAGTCGCTCCTGACACGACAAAAAAAAAAATCGACCAGTCGGATGCCCCACTAGTGTCGGAAAGAGAGTTAGGTCCCGTCTATACTGCCATTCAATGCAATGTGGTCAGTGCACACCAGGCATGGGCAAACTCCGGCCCTCCAGCGCACACCCCACATAATGCAGCTCAAACTCGTGTAATTATTAATGACAGGTTGCTTGCCATAGATGCAGGCGAAATGTCAGGAGAAAATGCCTCTAGAACATGGCCATACATAGCCCGAAAAACCTACAACAACCCATTAATAACATTATTAATAACAATTATTAGTAATAATAATTATTAATAACAATTATTAGTAATAATAATTATTAATAACAATGAGGTAAAAAGGTAAAGGTTGTCCCCTGACATGAAGTCCAGTCGTGTCCGACTCTGGGGGGTTGGTGCTCCTCTCCATTTCTAATCCAAAGAGCCGGCATTGTCCGTAGACACCCCCAAGGTCATGACTGCATGGAGCGCCGTTACCTTCCCGCCGGAGCGGTACCTATTGATCTACTCACATTTGCATGTTTTCGAACTGCTAGGTTGGCAGAAGCTGGGGCTGACAGCGGGAGCTCACCCCGCTTCCCGGATTCGAACCTGTGACCTTTCGGCCAACAAATCTCAGCAGCTTAGCGGTTTAACCCACTGCACCACCGGAGGCTCCAATGTATATAATGTGTAATAATATATATATTGTGGGATGGGGAACGCCTGACAGGGAAACTGGGGGAATGATATATCCGAAGGATAAAGAGACCACTGAGGCTCCATCTAGTCTGCCATATAATACAATCTGAACTATATTATATGGTCGGCTTATAGACTGCTATATAGTTGGAACTACATTATATAGTCAGTGTACATACTGCCACATAAAGCGGTTTGAACTATATTTTATCATCAGCTTACTACTGCTATGCAGTACATTATATGGTGAGTGTACACAATAATAATAATAATAATAATAATAATAATAATAATAATAATAATAATAATAAGCACAGTGCTAATTATTAGCACAATACTAATAATTAGCACAATACTAATTATAATAACAATTAGCACAATACAATAATAATTAGCACAATACTCCTGACCTCACAATCGTGTTACAAAACAAAGTATGGATTGTCAATGTTGCAATCCCAGGTGACAGCAGGATTGAAGAGAAACAACTGGAAAAGCTGACAATCTGATATGAAGATTTAAAGATCGAACTGCAAAGACTCTGGCACAAGCCAGCCAAGGTGGTCCCAGTGGTGATTGGCACACTGGGTGCAGTGCCTAAAGACCTTGGCCTGCACTTAAGCACAATCGGGCACTGTCAAAATTACCACCTGCCAGCTGCAGAAGGCCGCCTGAGGCATTATTCACCAATACATGTGATCCAATACAACAGCCAGCAGAGTGATCTTGTCTGCTGTGGACACATCTTGTGTTTCTAATAATAATAATAATAATAATAATAATAATAATAATAATAATAATAATAATAATAATAATAATAATGGGTTGTTATTCTTGAAACATTCTAGAAGCATTCTAGATGCATGGCCATACAGTCCGAAAAACCTACAGCAACTCAGTGTTTCCGGCCATGAAAACTTTCGACAATACAATAATAATATCAAACTTTGTTTATATTCTGCCTTCTCTCCCCAAGGAGACTCTGGACGGCTACATACAATTTGATCTGTATTATATGGTCAGTTTATTACTGAGCCCCTGGTGGTGGAATGGGTTAAATTCTTTTGCCGGCAGGATTGCTGACCGACAGAATCAGGGGAGAGCAGGTTGAGCTCCCTCTGACAGCTTCAGCTTTCTATGCGGGTGACATGAGAAAAGCCTCCCATAAAGATGGTAAAAAAAAAATCAAAACATCCGGGTGACACCTGGGCAACATCCTTGCAGACGGTCAATTTGAACTATATCATATGATCAGTTTATTACTGAGCCTCTGGTGGTGGAATGAGTTAAACTCTTTTGCCGGCAGGATTACTGTCCTACAGGTCAGGGTTCGAAATTGGGGAGAGCGGGTTGAGCTCCCTCTGACAGCTCCAGTTCCCTGTGCGGGGACATGAGAGAAGCTTGGTAAAGCACCAAAACATCCGGGTGTCCCCTGGGCAACATCCTCGCAGGCGGCCAGTCCTCTCACACCAGAAGCGACTGGCAGTTTCTCAAGTCGCTCCTAACAGGGGAAAAAGCGTATTACTACTATTTAACGCAGTTTAATGCAGCTTCGAGAAGACGTATGTGTATATCCATATATGCTCTCTCTCTCTCTCTCTCTCTCTCTCTCTCTCTCTCTCTCTATATATATATATATATAATGTGTGTGTGTATATATATATATATAATGTATATGGATATACACATATGTCTTCTCTAAGTTGCATTATATGTGTGTGTGTTTGTGTATATATATATAATGTATATGGATATACACATATGTCTTTTCTAAGTTGCATTATATATGTGTGTGTGTATGTGTGTGTGTATATATATATATATAATGTATATATGGATATACACATATGTCTTATCTAAGTTGCATTATATATGTGTGTGTATGTGTGTGTGTGTATATATATATATATAATGTATGTGTGTGTGTGTGTATATATATATATATAATGTATATATGGATATACACATATGTCTTCTCTAAGTTGCATTATGTGTGTGTGTGTATAATGTATGTGTGTGTGTATATATATATATAATGTATATATGGATATACACATATGTCTTCTCTAAGTTGAATTATATAAATATATATGTGTGTGTGTATGTGTGTGTGTGTGTATATATATATATCAGACACACACACACACACACACATACACCTGCTCATTGGGTATTATGTCTGTCATTATGTTTGGTCTCTATGTTCTGTGTATATTGTTCATATGCTTTGATGTTTTATACTTTAATGTTATGTTGTTTATTTTATTGCAATTTGTACTTTTTGTCTTGTAATTTGCTGTTCGGGCTTGGGGAGATGGTGGCGGGGTATAAATAAAGATTATTATTATTATTATTATTATTATTATTATTATTATTATTATTATTAGGATATTAGAGGCCAAGATGAAGTCCTTTGGCCACATCATGAGAAGACAGGAAAGCTTAGAGAAGACAATGATGCTGGGGGAAATGGAAGGAAAAAGGAAGAGGGGCCAACCAAGGGCAAGGATCCTTGAAGTGACTGGATTGACCTTGAAGGAGCTGGGGGTGGCGACGGCGGACAGGGAGCTCTGGCGTGGCCTGGTCCATGAGATTACCAAGAGTCCGGAAAAAACAACAAATGGAGTTGGAACGACATTATATATGGCCTAACATATAATACAGTTGGAACTACATTATATGCTCTGTGTACATACTATTTTATTTGGAACTCCACTGAAATGAAGGAGCTGAGGGTGGCGACGGCCGACAGGGAGCTCTGGCGTGGGTTGGTCCATGAGGTTAAGAAGAGTTCAAATAAACAACAAATGCAGTTGGAACCACATTATATATAGCCTGACATATAATACAGTTGGAACTACATTATATGCTCTGTGTACATATTGCTATATAATGCATACTGCTATATAATGCATCCACAGAATGCAGTTCAAACGGCATGATTTGGTTGCATAAGGGAACAGCAGCCGGGTGAACGGGTGACTGTTTGAAAAGGAGACAAGGGAGAACAATATAGGCACCTATAGCGGATCCCATAAGGCAGTTCAGGGTGACTCATTCTTCATCAGACCCCATCAACTCTTCCTCCCCCCTGTTGTTGATGTTTCCCGACCCTCTCCCTCACCTTCGTCCTCGGCGGAGGTCTCGTTGCTGTCGCGGGCCTTGTCGGAGGAGGGCTCCTCCTTGCCCCGCAGGCCCCCTCCTCCTCCTCCTCCTCCGCCGTCGCAGTCCTCATCCTCGTCCTCGCTCTTGTTCCGAGGCGCCCAGGTCATCTTGTTCTCCTTCTTGAGGCGGCGGCGGGCGTTGGCGAACCAGGTGGAGACCTGGGTGAGGGTCATCTTGGTGATGATGGCCAGCATGATCTTCTCGCCTTTGGTCGGGTAGGGGTTCTTGCGGTGCTCCTGCAGCCAGGCCTTGAGCGTGGCCGTGGCGTCGCGCGTGGCGTTCTTCCGGTAGGCCGGGTCGTTGAGCTGGTAGGAGTAGGCCGGGCTGCCGTAGGGGTGGTAGCTGAGGGCCCCGCTCATGCCCGTCGGGTGGGCATCATAAGGGGAGCCCTGCCAGGCCCACGAGAAAGACACACACACAGAGAGAAAGAGAGAGACAGAGAGAGAGAGGAGGGACGGTTAGCTTGCTCATTCCTTCCTTGAGAGACAGCGTTTGCCTGGCGGATTGTACGAGACTATTTCGGGTGTTGCTTGGTTTCCGTGCATGGCCTGTTCTAGCAGCATTTTCTCCCGACGTTTCGACTTCAGGGGATCCTCTGAAGATGCCAGGCACATATATACACGGAAACCACACAACAACCCAGTTATTCCGGCCTTGAAAGCCTTCCACTATCTATCTATCTATCTATCTATCTATCTATCTATCTATCTATCTATCTATCTATCTATCTATCTATCTATCTATCTATCTATCTATCTATCTATCTATCTTTTGTTATTTATTCGTTCAGTCGCTTCAGACTCTTCCTGATCTCATGGACCAACCCACGCTAGAGCTCCCTGTCGGCAGTCACCACCCCCAGCTCCTTCAGAGTCAAATCAATCTTTTGTTATTTATTCGTTCAGTCGCTTCCCACTCTTCCTGATCTCATGGACCAACCCACGCCAGAGCTCCCTGTCGTCAGTCACCACCCCCAGCTCCTTCAGAGTCAAATCAATCTTTTGTTATTTATTCGTTCAGTCGCTTCCGACTCTTCCTGATCTCATGGACCAGCCCACGCCAGAGCTCCCTGTCGGCAGTCACCACCCCCAGCTCCTTCAGAGTCAAATCAATCTCTTGTTATTTTTTCGTTCAGTCCCTTCCCACTCTTCCTGATCTCATGGACCAACCCACGCCAGAGCTCCCTGCTGGCAGTCACCACCCCCAGCTCCTTCAGAGTCAAATCTACCTTTTGTTATTTATTCGTTCAGTCGCTTCTGACTCTTCCTGATCTCATGGACCAACCCATGCCAGAGCTCCCTGTCGGCAGTCACCACCCCCAGCGCCTTCAGAGTCAAATCTATCTATCTTTATCTTATATATAATATAATATATACACACACACACACACACATACACACGGTGGGTGCGTCAAAACATTTTGCCTCCTGTGTCATACATAGGTTATGAATGAACATAGAGCAGCAGAAGTTGCTACGCTCCATAGCCTGAACTGTCCTCTACACAAAACTACAAATAGTGGCTGCACGCTGGCCATATAATATATATCTGGGTGGGTCAAAAAGTTGCTACAGATCATAGCCTGAACTGTCCTTTACACAAAACTACAGATCATGGCTCCACACTGGCCGTCTATATAAATAAAAATGTAATGCTCGTTTGTGGGATTAACATAACTAAAAAACCACTGGACGAATTGACGACAAATTTGGACATAATACACCTATCAGGCCAACGAGTGACCATCACTCATAAAAATACTGAAAAACACAAAAGAAGGAACTTAAAAAGCCCCAAAACAAAAAATACATTACAACTCATGCGTAAACACACATATACACAAATATATAAATACACACAAAATACATATACACAGACTGGGCCACAACAACGTGTGACAGGGGGTGGCTAGTATATAAATAAAAATGTAATGTTCGTTTGTGGGATTAACATAACTCAAAAACCACTGGACGAATTGACACCAAATTTAGACACAATACACGTGTCAGGCCAACGAGTGACTATCACTCATAAAACACTGAAAAACACAAATGAAGGGACTTAGAGAAATAAAATAAAAATACATTACATTACAACGTATGCACATAACCACATAAAATACATATACACAAATATATACACACACATACACACACACAAAATACATATACACAGCAATGCGTGACAGGGAATGGCTAATATATATATTATCTTAATTGTTGTGTCACGCTTCTTATATAATCATAATGATTTTGAATAACGCCCAAAGGGTATGAAAATCAACTTTCCTTCTCTCTTATTGTAAAAACAACGAGGACTTAGGCCCCTTCCACACTGCTGAATAAAATCCCACATTTTCTGCTTTGAACTGGAATATATGGCAGTGTGCACTCAGATAACCCAGTTCAAAGCAGATCTTGTGGGATTTTCCGCCTTGATATCCTGGCTGTGTGGAAGGGCCCTTAGTTTACATCTACTCCTCTCCATATATCTATCTATGTTGCAAATAATGCTAAGTGTAGACCCATATAATGCTGTTCAAACTGCACTATATTGTAGTGACTATCCAGCCCCTTCGGCTTTGCTCTTCCCAAAGGCCACACAGGTAGCTTCTGAATCTTCCCCTCTCCCCTCACTTTATTTTCCCCTTCTCTCTTTTTTCCTAATGGGAAAGAGAGGGAAGAGAAAGAGGGACACACACACATACACACTACAAAGCCCCCCCCCCCCCCCCCCCCCCCCCACTTAGCAATTCACGGCGCTAATGCATTGCAAATCCAATTTGCCCACCAGAAGAATATGCACCGTTTCGAATTGGTCAAATGCGATATAATTAGCATTTTAATTCACCCTTTAAACGTTTAAAATTGCGCTGATTTAAAGTCGACATAATACTAGGGTGTGGAAAGAAAAGGAGGAGGGGGAGGAGAGACGGCTGGAGAACTTTCTCTAGAAAGGGAAAAAGAGAAAGTCCGGATTTGCCTCCTGTTCGCGGCGGGTATTTTTCAGCCTCGAGAAAGCGTTTTGAGAGTTCACAATAAAGATCCAAAGTCACCCAAATGGATAACGAAACTGAGCGCCCTTCCACACAGCCATATAACACAGAATATCAAGGCAGATAATCCACAATATCTGCTTCGGACTGCATTATCTGACCCCGCACGGCAATATAACCAATAGAATCCACAATGTCTTAATTAAACCGGATTATCTGAGTCCACACTGTCATATAATCCGGTTCAACGTGGATTCTAAGCAACTGTGTGGAAGGAAACCCTTGCCTCACTTTCCCAGGACTTTTAGCTTCTTTTTTAAAATCCTCGGAATCTGTCTCAATCAGAGACAGAGAATTCCAAGCAAAGACAAATCACATTGGGCCCTTCCACACAGCCATATAACTCAGAATCAAGGCAGAAAATCCCACAATATCTGCTTTGAATAGATTTATCTGAGTCTGAACTGGATTATCTGAGTTCACACTACCAAAGCAGATAATGTGGGATTTTATTCAGCGGAGTGGAAGGGGGGGGGGGGCTCTGTTAATTTAGCTCCCTTCCATACAGCCATATAATCCAGGATATCAAGGCAGAAAGTCTCACAATATTTGCTTTGGGTTATCTGAGTCCACACTGCCATATATTCCAGTTCAAAGCAGATAACGTGCGATTCTATTCAGCTGTATGGAAGAGACCCTCAGATAACTGGGGTCCCTTCCACACAGCTATATAATCCAGGATATCAAAGCGGAAAATCACACAATATGTGCTTTGAATATATTTATCTGAGTCTGAACTGGATTATCTGAGTTCACACTGCCATATATTCCACTTCAAAGCAGATAATGAGGGATTCTTTTCAGCGGAGTGGAAGGGAGACTCAGTTAATTTAGCTCCCTTCCATAGTTCCTTCAGAAAGGCTCTTTCTTGTCTTGGACTAAATGAGGTTTCCCTCAGGGCCCTTCCACACAGCCATAATCCAGGATATCAAGGCAGAAAATCCCACAATATCTGCTTTGAACTGTGTTCTCTGAGTACACACTGCCATATATTCCAGTTCAAAGCAGATAATGTCGGATTTTATTCAGCTGTACGGAAGGGGGCCTCAGATAACTCAAGCCCCTTCCACACAGACATATAATCCAGAATATCAAGGCAGAAAATCCCACAATATCTGCTTTGAACTGGGTTATCTTTGTCCACACTGCCATATATTCCAATTCAAAGCAGAAAATGTGGGATTCTATTCAGCTGTGTGGAAGGGGGCGTCAGATAACTCGGGTCCCTTCCACACAGCCATATAACCCAGGATATCAAAGCGGAAAATCCCACAATATATGCTTTGAATAGATTTATCTGAGTCTGAACTGGATTATCTAAGTTCACACTGCCATACATTCCACTTCAAAGCAGATAATGTGCGATTCTATTCAGCTGTATGGAAGAGAGCCTCAGATAACTCGGGCCCTTCCACGCAGCTATATAATCCAGGATATCAAGGCAGAAAATCCCACAATATGTGCTTTGAACTGTGTTCTCTGAGTCCACACTGCCATATATTCCAGTTCAAAGCAGATCATGTAGAATTTTATTCAGCCGTGTGGAAGAGTCCATACACACTGATATACTTTCGTAGAATTTCGGTGGGAAATGCCTTTCAATCGATGGCTGGCAAATAATGCATTATATGGAGAGTATATAATGCGGTACAGCTCGAGCCAATACATGGCCCAAGAAGCGGTGAAAAGTGAAAAAAAATGGAAGAGAAGGAAAGAGAAGAAGCAGAGGAAAGGAGGGGTGGGTGGGAATAGAATTGGAAAGAGAGGAAAGAAAGAAGAAAACAGAAACAAGGCAAAAAGGAGAGGAAGACAACAGGCAAAAGAAAGAGAAGAAAAAAAAAGAAGACAACAAAAACAAGGCAAAAAGTCACGAGGAAAAAGATAGAAAAAAGGGGTGACTTGGTGTAAAGAAGGAACGCAACGAGAGGGGGGAAATCACGAAGGAGAAGAGAGAATGCCCCGTTTGGGGCGATTGGCATGCCCACGACGACTACGAAGGGGCGGGTGGGGGAGCGATAGAGGAGGAGGAGGAGGAAGAGGAAGGGGATGAAGATGGAAGGGGAGGAGGGGGGGAGAGAGAGACAGGCTTGGCGCCGTCTACCCACCATGTAGGAGGGGAATCCCGCGGCGGCCGGGTCGGCGGAGTACTGGAGCGGGCTGCTGAAGCCGGTGGCGGCCGCTTGGGCGGTGAAGGCGGCGGATCCCGGGTAAGGGCTGAAGGCCGAGCCGGACGAGGAGCGGGCCAGCTCCTCGCTGCGGGGCGCGGCCAAAGCGGAGGCCCCGTAGGCCGGGCAGGAGTAGAGCGCCAGCGAGCCCGGGGGCTGGTAGAGGTAGCCCTGCGGGTAGGACATGGCTGGCCGGGAGAGAGAGAGAAGGAGAGGGAAAAAGAGAGAGAGAGAGAGAGGGCGGCAGCGGGATCAGCAAAGGCGAGGAGGAGGAGGGCTGTCGCTTCCCCCGCTGCAGCCACAGCCTCCTCCGCCGAGGAGCTCACAGCGTCCCCTCCATCGGCGGGAGGAGCGCGAGCCAAAAGGAGAGCCCGGCGCGAGGCGGAGGGAAAAGCCGCTCGCGCCTGATGGGAGCGCGCGCGCCCGCTTGCTTCCTTGCTCACTCGCGCGCCCGCCTTTCCAACGCAGAAGGAGTCACCCGCTGGAAGAGGAAACCGAGGTGTGCATCTGGGCAGGAAGACGAGGAATTAAAATCTACCTAAGTATCTATTGTAGAGCGCAAGGAACTAGAAAGCCGAGGCAAGCCTCTACTGTTGGCCCCAACTCTCCCTCTTTTCCCGCGCGCCCCCCCTGCTTCGGCACCCAGCGGCCCGCGAGAGAGAGAGAAGAGTTTTGTGAGGCGAGGACTTTTACCCATTGGCCGAGCCAGCTGTCCGTCACTGAGGCTCATCTGCATACTTCAGAGGACACGCCCTCTTTCTCAGCCCGGAGGGAAGCGAGGGAAGGCGGGACTTTTGGGAAAGAGAGGAGGAGAACTCCCTGGCCCCCCTCCCTTTTTGAGTCTCCCTCGCGCCCTGAGCCTCGAGGCGCGCGCGAGCGAGCTGCGCAGAAGGAGACGCGCAGTTGCGCACTTGCTCCCTCCTTTCTCCCTTCGCCTCCCCTGAAGGTTAAGGGGCCTGGCGTATTCCCGGGTCTCTCCAGCCGTTGGATTTGAGGCATTCCCTATTGGCGCAAGGCTGTCCCAGCCAGCTTCGGACCAGCTTGCTTTCCCTGGAGGAAGTCTCTCCAGGATCTGCTTGGGATTTAGGAAAAGAAGAGGCACAGTTCCAATGAGTACAAGGGGCAATCGGGGAATCGGGATAATGAGAATAGGCCCCCCCCCCCCCCCGAGGGCAAATATATACAGACATAGGTGACACACATGTTTAGGGTCCTCAGTGTCAAACATAGGAAAAGTCCCGTTCATTGTTGCAATGAGGGGCCAACTTCCATCGGATCCTTTAGAGAAGAACATACAACTGCTTCTGGGAAGCATAAGTCCTCCAGAGTCACCTCCAGGAAAGAATCAGGGGTGCTTTCCCTTAGTTAAGGGGTGATCCGTATGTATACAACACGCCTTCCCAGCTTAAAGGAATTCTGGCCCATTGGATGTCAAAATGACCTCGCTGGGTGACAACACAGAGAAGTCTTCTCTGTTATAAAACCACATTGAAAGTTGGAATTCTTTTGGGAAGTCCAGTGAAACAGCCAGAAAGAAAGCATACAACTGCTTCTGGGAAGTCGGGTTCCCTTTCGGAGCAGCGACTTGCCCCCTTTCGGCGGAGCCGGGAAGGAGGGCCAACTGTTCAGGAATCAGAGCCCATCTCAGAATTTCCCCACTTTATGAAACAATCAAGGGAATCGAATCATTGATCATTGAATAGTTCCTCCTCCAACTCACTCTGAAATCAAGTGGGATTGAACTACAGGTATAAAAAGGGAAACAAAGCTAGAACGAAGGCGCCCAATGCTTGTGTGGGAACAGTGTGCACCTAACCCGAGCTAATATCCCCCCTTATTTCGAAGCATATTGCAATTGGGAAATTCATTAGGAGGGCATTCGAAACGCCTTCCCTCCCAGTCAAATTTGGATACGTGAGGAGAAACTTGCTCCCTTCTTCCTCCTCCTCCTCTCCTCCTCTTCCTTCATTTCTTCTTCTCCTTCTCTTCTTCCTCCTCCTCTCCATCTTCTTCCCTTTCTCTCCCTTCTCTCCCTCTCTCTCTCCACATCTTTACTCTCCCCTTCTTTTCTCTCTCCTTCTCTCCTCCCTTCCTTCTCCTTTCTTCTCCTTCCTCTCCTCTTTTCCACTTCATCTTTTCCTTCTTCTCCTCCTCTTCCTTTCTTCTTCCTTCTCCTCTCTTTTCCTTCTTCTTCTCTTTCTCCTTCTCTCCTCCTCTTTCCTCCTTCTCCTTCTTTTCTTTTTCTCTCTCTCCTCCTCCTCTTCTCCTTTTCCTTCTTTCTCCTCTCTCTTTCTCTTCTTCTCCTTTTTCTCCTCCTCCCCTTCCTCTTCTCTTCTCTTTCTCCTTATCCTTCTCTTTCCCCTCCTTCCCTTCCCTTCTCTCTCTCCTCCTCCTCTCTCTCCTCCCTCTTTCCTTCCTTTCCTTCTTCTCTCTCCCTCTCCTCCTTCTCTTTCCCTCCTTCTCTCTTCCCTCTCTCCTCCTTCTCTCTCCTCCTTCTCTCATTCCCTCCTTCTCTCTTTTCCTCCTTCACCCTCCTCTTCTCCTTTTCCTTCTTTTCTCCTTCTCCTTCTCTTCATCTTTCCCTTTTCATTCGCCTTCTCTTTCTCCTCCTCTCCTCTCTCCTTCTCTTCTTTTTCTCCTTCACCTTCTCTATCTCCTCCTCCTCTCCACCTCTTCCTCTTTCCCTTCTCCTTCTCCTCATCTATCCCCTCCTTCTTTCCTTTCTTCTTCTTCTCCCCTTCTTCTCCCTCCTTTTCCTCTTTTCCTCTTTTCCTTCCCATTGGCCTTCTCTTTCTCCTTCTCTTTCTCCTCTCATCCTCCTCTTCTCCTTTTCCTTCTTTTCTCCTTATCTTCATCTTTCCCTTTCCATTCGCCTTCTCTTTCTCCTCCTCTCCTCTTCCCTCTCTTCTTTTTTTCCTCCTTTTCCTTCTGCTCCACTTCCCCTTGCAATTCTACTTCTCCGTCTTTTCTTCTTCTTCTCCTCCTGTACTCTTTGTCCTTCTCTTTCTTCCTGATGCTACCACTACAACTAGCATTACTACTATTCTACGGAAATCCACACGGGGCTCGGGAGAGGATTCTTACAATTACAACCAAATCAACCAATTACAACTATGCCATTGGGTATGAAAAAGACTCCCCCCTCCCCTTCTAATTTTTAAACTATTGCCTTGCAAAGTTAAAAACAGAGAGGAGGAGGAGAAAGAAGAAGAAGAAGAAGAGGAAGAAGAGGAGGAGGAGGAGGAGGAGGAGGAGGAGGAGGAAGAAGAAGAAGAAGAAGAGGAAGAAGAAGAAGAAGAAGAAGAGGAAGAAGAAGAGGAGGAGGAGGAGGAGGAGGAGGAGGAGGGAGGAAGAAGAAGAGGAAGAAGAAGAAGGAGGAGAAGAGGAGGAGGAGGAGTAAGAGGAGGAGGAGGAAGAGGAGGAAGAGGAAGAGGAGGAAGAAGAATCTCGGGCGCCCTCCAAGCGAGAAGTGGATTGGACTGGAGAGCGGCTGAGTTTTCAATGTGCCAGGCGCCTATAATGAGGCGGCCTATTGTCTTCACTCTCCCCAGAGCCACGGCCAAAGTCCTCCACGAAGGCAGCCCCATGGATCGCTGTGGGGATTCACTTCGCTTTGTTGGATCTGCAATCGGATTTTATTTTCGTGCGCGCCGAAGTTCTCCACTTAGGAGAAGGCTGCGTGTCTATATGTGTACATTTAGTCACGGTTAAAAACCTGTAATACACGATTGCATACATAATAATTAATTAATAATTAATATATTATTATTATTAATAATAATAATAATAAATATATTAATTATTAATATATATATATTCCTTTCTCTTCCTCTTCTTCTTCTTTCTCCATCTCCTCTTCCTCCTCCTCTTCTTCGTATTCTTCCTCCTCCTCCTCTTCCTCTTCTTCTTCTTCTTCTTATTCCTCCTCCTCCTCCTCCTCCTAAGTAGAGAACCATTTAGTCACGGTGAAAAACCTGTAATACACGATTGCATAAATAATAATAAATTAATAATTAATATAATAATAATAATAATAATTAATATATTAATTATTAATATATATTCCTTTCTCTTCCTCCTCTTCTTCTTTCTCCACCTCCTCCTCTTCTTCTTCCTCTTCTTCTTATTACTCCTCCTCCTCCTCTTCTTCTTCTTCTTCCTCCTCCGCCTCCTCTTCTTCTTCCTCCTCCTCTTCTTCTTCTTCTTCTTCTTCTTCTTCTTCTTATTCCTCCTCCTCTTCCTCCTCCTCTTCTTCTTCTTATTCCTTCTCCTCTTCCTCTTCCTCCTCTTCCTCTTCTTTTTCTTCTTCTTCTTATGCCTCCTCTTCTTCTTCTTATTCCTCCTCCTCTTCCTCCTCCTCTTCTTCTTCTTATTCCTTCTCCTCTTCCTCCTCTTCCTCCTCCTCCTCCTCCTCTTCTTCTTCTTCTTCTTCTTCTTCTTCTTCTTATTCCTCCTCTTTTTCTTCTTAATAATAATATTTATTAATAATTAATAATTATTAATAATTAATAATAATATTGTTCTGAATAATGACAATAATCTGGAGGACGGCAAAACATCTATCCTACAAACACCTTTCCCAAGACTTTCCCTTCCTTCCAATACACAAGGTTGTTTCCCATTTATTACAAGAAGCAACCCAAGAGAGATGGCTGATGGGCGGGAAGGGAGGGGGGAGTAAGTGTCTGTGATAACGGGGGGGGGGGGAGGAGAAGAAGAGCGCGGGAAGAAGAGCGGCTAGTTTTCCAATAAGTGCTTAATGAATAGAGCATTACCATTTCAAAAGGCCAGCCCTTGCTTTTGGGTCGATTTGCATAATTTTTGTATGGCTTCAAATAAAAAAAAAAGGAAAAGAAAGAAGGCAACACCGCTTGTCATGCCTTTCCGAAAGAAGGAGGAGGAGAAGAAGAAGGCACGGGCGGCGTGACAAAGAGAGTCCCGTCCTCATTCGAGGAACGAGCCGCAGCGTTTCGTTACAAACGGGACATTTTGTCGGGCTTGGGTTTGAGCCTACTTCTCTCTGTTATGTGCTTTCCATGCTTCGTTCCCCTTACATTAGACCCACTGGGCTCTCCCTCTGACCGACTTGCCCCTTGCCACGCGTTGGCACTTTTTCACGGGTGTTTTCAAAACAGTTTTCAATACAATACACGCGTTTATGACGGATATAATAAATGCGGGCGGGCGCAAATACCTGCGACGCTGCTTCCAAGCACAACCTCGTCCTTCTCTATTTATCCCATTGGCAATATGGGACTTGCAATTGGGACTTGCTCCTCAGTGAGAGGTTCTCCTACAAAATGAATGTGGGAAACCCCTCGCTGGTCATCTTCCCAGATAGCTTTATGTGTAACCAGCTTCTATATAAAGGAGGGCAGGATCCAGCTAAGTTAATCACCCCTTAAACCCCATTGATTGCGAGCTGGAGGGGAGGGAGCGCTCTGCCCACAGGATCAATGGGATCGAGCGAAGCCAGCTCAAGAGAGTCTCGTGGAAATCAATGAAGCTGGCTTCGGCTGGTTTTGACGAAACTGTGGTGTGGTTTCTTGACGTTTGGCCTGCATCTGTAGCTGATGCCATTGATGACAAAGTCCTAGTCTGTGCGCATTCAGAAGAAGACCTACAAGCCGCTCTCAACACCTTTGGAGAAGCATATCA